AATAAATTTCACAAAAATTTTTTTAAAGTTTAGTATTTTTTATATCAAAATTTCGCTTTGTCGCACTTTTTCCCCAATTTGAAAATATTTTTACAAAATTTAAAATATATTCTTTCTCCGTGTAGAGTTTCTTTTTGTATAGTTTAATTAAATTTTCAGATAGTTTTCCCTGATTTTCAAACACAACGCAATTTCTTATCTAAGATAAAACTAATATTCTTAATTGAGGAAAACATTGTTGATTTTATAATATATTTCTCGGTTCATTGAAATTTATCACTCATAACAAGAAAAAAAAAGAAATCCTAATGATAAAATCCAAATTCCTATAAAGTCATATTATGAAGGAGTTTACACCGTAAGCCTTAAATATAAGCCTCCGCGCGCATAAACGGATATACCTCCAGGAGCATATATTTGCGCCTGCGCGAACACGTGGCCAAGGCAAACTCTTTCACAACACAGCTGCAGGCAAACACTTTGCGCAGACGCAAGTATATGCTCATGGAGGCATATCCGTTTATGCTCGCGGAGGCTTATATTTAAGGCTTACGGTGTAAACTCCTTCTATATATAAAATTTTGAAATTCTAGAGACACCAAGTTTCGAACTTTGTCTACGTAATTTTCTAAATGATGTGATGTCTTGAAATTTCCTTTATCAAAGTTCCTAAAAGTTTTCAAACTATGGAGCACATGTTGAGCCTTTTCAAGTTCTAGTTTCAAAATTAAATGTTACCTTCGTCAAGTATTCATTTTGTATATATATATTATTCCATCTTATGTTTTGGAAAGTTTCAATTTTTCCCCACACACACACACGAAAAGAAAAAAGTCAAAAAAAGTTTTTAAATTATATTTTGTTTTCTATATATTATGGCAAATTAAAAAGTTTTAAGAAAATTAGACTCTTTTTTCAACGTGAGTAGTGAAAATAAAAAATTAAAAGTTCCTGTATTTTTCCTGCATTTTTCGCTGCGTGTATATATATATATATATATATATATATATATATATATATATATATATATATATATATATATATATGTACGCAAACCATTGTGTTGTTGGTACTTTACAAAAAACTTTTTAGATTTCTTTTATATTTATAAATTCAATCAAAACTTTCCACTCCATGATTTCTTTTCTTAATAATAACAACATTATTTACGTTTTTATACAATAATAACAATAACATTCAAAATATAATTATTATTACTAATAATAATAATTACAGGCTTCGCATACTCGATAATTACGTTTAAAAAAAGTCGCAAAAAGTATCTTTAAGACTATAAAAAAAAAAGTAAAAAAATTAGTTATTGAAAAATTAAATTTGACGACTAAAAAAATCTAGTTTTACTCGATTCACAAAAATTTGATTCAGTAAAAATTCATTTTTAAATCAATTCTCGTTAGAAAGTTCTACGAGAATTCAATTATTTAAATACAAAAATAAATAATTAATTGAATAATTGATTATTTCTTAAAATTGAATTTTTATATAATACTTTATCAAAAGTTTTGAAAATAACTGAATTCATACAAAGAATATTCTTGGAAAAAATTACAATTTTATAATTGATTTCTTTCGGAACGAATTTTATAAAAGAAATTTTAAATAATTAATATCTTTCAAAAAGTGTTATGAAAATTGTATTTTAAATCATTGAATTTCTATAAAAATTATGGACTTTTTACAAAAAATTTTATTATAACATTTTTTTTTTAAATAATTGAATTCTTAGGGAAATTGAATTTAAATTTTTAGATATTGAAAATAATTGAATTTAAGCCATGAATTTCATTATTCGAAAAAATAATTAAATTCTTGGGAAAAATTTTCTTAAAATTATTTGAGAATAATTAAATCGTTTCAAAGAATTTTATTAAAATATTTGAGAATATAATGTTTTTTATTCAGGCATTTCACGTCAGAAATATCACGATTTGCAAAGGGTATGCCGATTTTCGCAAAACTTCGTGGGATTATAGTTCTATATAAGAGACTTCTTTCCCCCAAATTTTTTCAAAACAAATTCAAAATTGTTGAAGATACGCCATATTTTGAATTTTAATATTAATTTTATAGAATTTTGAATATCTCGGAATATTGTTTATGGATTTTTATGAAATTTACACATTTTTCAGGTAAAAGTATGTACTTTAAAATGCAAATAAAGTTATTGAAAAAAATTAATTTTTAAATAAAATTTTTTTTTTAATTTGTTTAAACAATTTTTTGTTTATTTACTCGTCTCTGAGAAAAATGTTATTAATATATTTAGATTCCTTATGAATTCACCTTTAATTTCATAAAAAAATTGATGGAAACTCAACTGGGTCCGGATATATTAAAGTTTTTGTAAAAAATAGGCCTAGTTGCAGCAGCAATGCACGACTACGCGGTAACGTACTACGCGACTTGTGCAGTATAAAGGTACACTCTCACCTCACTGCCTGCCTGCCTGCGCAGGCAGGCGCCATAAGAGTGAGAGAGAAAAAACATTTAATTTGAATTTTCTTACTCTCTTACTCCTATGTGTTACCATGTCAACCTGCAGGCAGGCAGGCAGGCAGTAGGAGCTGTGCTAGCGCCTTAATGGTGCTATGGCGCGGCGATCCTTTTTTTTACAAAAAATTCAATATCTCCGGAACCAGTTGAGTCTCCATTAATTTTTTTTTATAAAATTAAAAGTGAATTCATAAGGAATCCAAATATGTTAATAACATTTTTCTCAGAGAGGAGTAAATAAACAAAAAATTGTTTAAAAATTTTTTTATTTAAAAATTCATTTTTTTTATTAACTTTATTTGCATTTTAAAGTACATACTTTTACCTGAAAAATGTGTAAATTGCATAAAAATCCATAAACAATATTCCGAGATATTCAACTTTTTATAAAATTAATATTAAAATTCAAAATGGCGTATCTTCAACAATTTTGAATTTTTTTTTGAAAAAATTTGGGGGAAAGAAGTCTTTTATATAGAACTATAATCCCACAAAGTTATGCGAAAATCGGCATACCCTTTGCAAATCGTGATATTTCTGACGTGAAATGCCTCTATTTCAATTATTTTATTAGTGGATTTAACTAAGAAAAAGAAGAAAGTAGCTTCTAGTATCAGAAATCTAAAAAAGTAACCAAATACACGGAAAAAAATACTAGGCTAAAAACACATGAGCGTCTGTTGTGTATATTGCACGCACACTACCATGCGTGATTAGCTTGGAATCCATCCTATTTTCGCATGGTGCTGTGGCAAAAGTCACAAAAGCCATGCATTTTTAGTAAACTCCTGTGTGATATTTGCAAAATGGGCTCATGTAAAAATCGAACCAATAGACTCCATGCATTATTAGGCTGATTTTTTTTTCCGTGTAGTATCAAATCGTAAAAAAAGTAGTAAATAGTAGGTTTTAGTGGATGAGTGCGAAGCCACCAAGTTGAAGTCCACAACGTTGATCAACGAAAAAAATGGTTCACTAAGCAAATTAATTAAAAATAAAGCAACAATATTGACACAAAACTATTTAGGAAGAAAAGGTTGATGTTTATATTTAGATAATAATTATTTTACAATTAAATATTATATTAAAAATAATACTTGAATGCATTAAATAAATTTTTTTCGTTGATCAACGTTGTGGACTTTAACTTCGTTGCGAAGCCTGCAAATATTAATATTAATTATTATTAGAATTTTCCTGGAATTATTCGCGAAACAATTGTCAATCAAGTTTTTTTTCAGTCCCTCATTTTTTCCTAGTTTTAATTTATTTTTCAATTCTTAATTATTTATTACTACTATTATTAATTATTATATTATTATTAAAGGAAATGAATTTATCATTCGTCAATTAAATATTAAGGTGAAAGAAGAGTAATATCTTTCACCTTAATATTATTATTATTGTTATTATTAAATTATTAATAATATATTATTCATATATGTAATATTATCTTGAGCTTTTCTCACTATTTATTGAATAAAAATCATATAATAATTTTATTATATTTTCCTTAGATTCTACCAATAAAAATAATCTTTAAATTTAGAACGTGGAAAATTTTCAAAGCAAATGAATAATAATCAGTGCTTATTAAAATTTAATTCGACTTTCTTTAGATATTCTTAAACTTGCACAAATGAAGGCTAAATTTGAAACTAAAGCCCGAAGGGGCAATTAAACTCATTGACCCGCAAATTTTTAGCAGCACAATATGTAACACAGTGAATTATAAATACTGTTTGTAAATGTCTTCTATTTAAATTGAATGGAAATTTTTGTTTTTATATGCAACGCCTCTAGAAAATATATATATATATATATATATATATTATTATATTTTCTCAAGTCATAAAATAAAAAATGAAAGAAAACGATTTTAAAACGAAAACTTTTTTTAAGAAACGATAAAAAAATCAATTCATTAAAAGAGCTATTGTTTTCAAAGTCGAATAAAATTTTTTTACAATTTTGAATTTGCATACATTTTTTTCAAATGAAAAACAAGATAAATTTTAATGTTTCTCTATTATATGTAAATTATTCATACGAAAACAAACAATGCTTGCGGCTGAAATATTTCATAAACAAAAAATAACTTAACCCTAAAATTTGAAAATTCTGTAAAAATTTTCATTTATGAAACTGAAAAAACAAGTCACGAAAATGACAGGTGATTTTGGAAAGACAATCCTTAATGGAATCTAGTTTCTGAAGTTTCGTTTTTCAATAAAAATGAAAAATATATGACTTTTAAGACCGACAAATAAATCAAAAAGTTTCAAGACTTTCTAATTATCATAAACTTGTTAGTTGTTACTTGTTTTATATATACAAATCCGAAAATAGAGCAATCGCTGTTCAACGTGGGCAGCTCGTTCCAATAAATATTTATAACTTTGTCAACAACAATTGCAAAATTACCCGAATTATTACGTTCTATTCAAAGCGTATAAATGCATGTAAACAAGAAATAAAAAACATACCTTCAGACGAAAATGATGAATTTATAAGAGTAATTAGAATGATGAGGAAAATAATACTCGATGAAAATTTGAATAGAAGCCGACATGGTTCGGAACGGCTTTTTCCACCCCAGTTTTCACTCACTCGCACCACCATGTCCTATATATGCAAAATATATATTTCCGGCGAAAATTATTGCCAGAAAAATGAACACTCGCGTTCGCCCACCCGAGCGAACGGCGAAAGGAATGCAACACCGGCTGGAGACGATGAATTGTGATCGTTTGCCGTGTCACGAGCACGAGACGCAAATCCCTTAAATTCACGGCGAAACGGCAAAAAAGGTTTAACAACGACTGGTTGCATAGGATTTACACCTGGTGCACTTTTAATTTCTTCGTGTCAGTGAATCTTTCCCGGGCGAATGTCCAGACAGAAGTCATCGTTTTCCTAGATGACGGTTCTCTGACGCACCAACTATCGCGCCACCTGCGCGCGCACCCATCTTTCTCGAATTCAACTAACATAACCTAACTTTTTCATTTTTTTTCTTTTTAAAAAAAATCACTACCGTTGTAATAAGAGTAACGTTTTATGGTAATTGTTCATAATGAACGTTTATTATTAACACAAACAACTTTGTTTATTGTTTACTACACACGTTATCGCCACAAATTACGAAAAAGAATCAACGGCACATTCGAGTTTGAAGCCAGGGCTCACCAGGGGCGTAACTAGTTCCCGATTTTTCACTTTCCAATTAAATTTTATTCTTGTTAACAGACAAATATAATCGGCAAATGGTTATTTATTACCATTTATTGGCAAAGTAGATTTTATTTTCATTTATTTCATTCCATTACATAATTTTAAAACTGTAAATCTAAATATTTGTTGCATTTCTCCGGGCGACTTGTGAAGGATACGCCGCTGATTGTTGTTTTGATCAGCTGATTGATGTTTATCATTGATTTTAAATTCAAATATCAAAATATTGACGTAATAGGTAATTGCGTATTTTGCTCTTAAAATTAATAAAAGAAAAACTAGAAAATACCCTCTATTAAATTGAGTATATTTTTAAATATAAAACAATTTAAACTTTTGACTTTAAATACAAATTGCGAATAATTATCAATGCAAATAAAAATTATTTGATCTCTATTGCTCTTTATTTACTTCACTAATTTCTTATATGACAAGATAAAATTTTGTTTTGTCTAACGTCACATTTAAAAAACAATTTTTTTAATGCAGGAATAAAGCTTCTTTATAAGCTACGGAAATAAAATATTCTTCAAAAACAAAAGTGTTCTAAAAACATGATTTATTTTTAACGATAAAGACAACATAATTTTTCTATATATATATATATGAATTAAAATAATCAATTTTACAATTTTCCATTTTTTCTTATTAAACTACAATTTGACATGACTTGTAAATCAAAATTCATAAGTCACGTTAGTTTTTCTTTAAATATTTTATTAACACTTGGTAAAGTTTTGTGTATATAGTCTAATGCTAGAATTTTCAAGATAAACTTAAAAATTTACACAAAATCAAATCATTTTCAAAAAAAAATTCTCTCAAAATCGACAATAAGTATAAATTTTTTATTAAAAAGTGGAAATTTTTAAATTAAAAGCTGTCAAAAAGATAAAATCATTTCATATACATTGTAATAAAACTTACAAAAAAAACAAACAAAAACTTTTTTAAAATAACAAAAAAATAAATTTCTTTAAAATCACTTGAACAAAATTGCAAGTAACCAAAAACCCTATTTTTACTGTTCTGATATATCACTTTTTATTTTTACAATTCTTATTATTAGACTTGGTAATTTGACGTCAAATTTACACCGCCACCGATAAAAATCAATTTCTTTCTTTAAATTTGCTTTTTAAGCAAAAATTTTTAATACATTTGAAGAAACAAAAGAAATGACAATTGTAAAGATGTTCTTTTGTACAAAATTTTTCAATTTTCCAAAGTGGCGGTACTCACTTGACGGACGTCAAAGAGACGATCCGCGGCGGGGTCTTCGTTAAAATAAGCAGCGGAATTGAAAATCGTTGCTGTTTTTCCCTCCTCGACTGTTGCCTGATAAGAAAATCACTTTTATTACCTATCTTATTATTCAGGGTGGTCACAAGTTTCAGTTTATCAATTTCCCTGACAGTTTATTGCCATTAAAATTATTTTCCCTGACAAACTTTTCTTTTTACAGAAAAATATGAAAGTTTACGGAAAATGAGTAAAATTTATGAATTTTAATGATTTCTAAAAATTACAGTTATAACCCTTCCTAAAGTCAATTATTTTCTACAATTTTCAACTAAACTTCATTTCTAAATCAATTTTATTTTAAATAATTTTCCGAAAATTCTAAAATTAAATTATTTAAATAGGGGAGAGGGCCCCAAGGTGGTCACCCTAAGAAAATTTTTGTATATTAGTTAGTATCTTCCAATTTTTTTTTTGTTATTGTTATTATTTGAGAAGACAAAGATTTTAGTAAAGTTTTGAGGTAAATAGTCGTATGAGTCTCGTTGTAACGTGATCGTCGTAAAATTTCTGTTTTTAAATGATCGAGAAATTTTTTTCTCAGGGTGTTAAAATCATCAAAATTAACCATTTTAAATTAGTAAAAATCGTTATAATTATCTTTATATATCGTACAATAATATTCCAAATGAATATAATTAATATTGTGCTTTACAAATTTTTTCATTAACGTTTAAAAAATTGTGTCTTGGCCCTAAGGTGGACACTTTTTTGGCCCCAAGGTGGTCGCTTTTGATTTTTTATGAAAATGTGTTTATACGTTATATTTATCAACATTTATCACTGTGAATGTGAATTTTATCAATTTTTAAGTTTTATGATGAATAATAATGAAATATGTAGAATTATTTTCAAAATTTTACCTGTCTAATACATACACAAAAAGTATCATTTTTGACGAAAGGACAAAGTGCAAAAAAAATATGTAATATGTTTCTGTGATTCTGAAAAACAATTAATATTAAATAAACAACTTAATAATACGTTTTTTACATTTTTTTAAAACTTTTTTAGTGAATTTTTGTATGGTGACCACCTTGGGGCCACTTTTTTAAAAGTCGAATTTTCAACTTTTTTTAAAAAGTGCCATAACTTTTTTTTATTAATGAAATGAAAAAAACTTTATGATAGGAAATTAGGTAATAAGATAAAGTTTCAAACGCCGTATTATTGACCTTTATATATAATTCCATTTGAAATCTACAGTCGTTCAAAAGATGGGTGACCACCTTAGGGCCCTCTCCCCTACAAAAACTCAATTTTTTTTAATAATTGTAACTGTCTATGTTTTTTTCTTAAGTTATTGAGGTATAATTTTTCAAAAAAATTATAATAAAGAAATTCTTAGAATTAATTTTTTAAAAATATTTTTGAACAATTTTTGATAAACAATCATTTTTTAATTATATACAATTGAAAAATTTTGAAACAATTAAAACTTAGTAAAATCTTTTAAAAACAATTGAATTTTTGAAAAAAAAGTAATAACATTTTTAAAGAATTTCAATTTTAAAATAAGAACATCATTTCTCCAAAATTTTAATAAGTCTAAAAAAGTAAGTTTTTATTTACTTTGTTCCAAGAGAATTGACTCTTAAAAAAAATTATGATAAAAAAATTCTAATAATTAGTTTTTAAAATATATTATAATGTAATTTTTCAAAAATAATTTAATTTCTTAAAAGAATTTTTGTATAATTTAAAAAATAGTACATTGCCCAACTAGTGACGAAAGTGTGATTTTTCGAGAGTGAAGTTTGCGGCTCGAGAGCAGCAATCACTCGAGAAAAATCATTCTTTCACCGTGTGTTATGCACTAAGTTTTCTCCAACGCCTTGCGAGGAAAGGTTTCTTCGTGAGTTTCGTATAATTTTAATTAAACGTGTGCTTATGTTTAATATAATAAAACAGACGAATGCTTTGAGTGGGGAAAGTGAGACACAAAATATATTTCGGTTAGAGAACAAGAAAAAAAAATAAGGTCATGATTTACATTCGCCACGCCAAATTTTACTTTCAACACTCTCTTCAGAGGAGTTGAGAAAAGTTCTACCTTCGCCACACTTATCTAACAAGATACAAAAAATTTTAATAAAAAATTAAACATGATTGTTTTTTCCAAAATGTTAAAAATAATTCTAAAATGTTATCATTTTTTGTATGTATTTGAATTTTCCGAAGTAAGTTATTGAAAATAGTGGAAATATTGAATTTTAAAAAATTAGAAACTAATTTTCCCTAATTTTCAATTTTAAACTTAAATTTAAAGATTTTTCATTAAACTTTTTGATAATTCAATTATTATCAAACTTTACAATTAAAATTCTTCAAAATTTGATTTTCAAAAATTGTTATAATAACAGGGTTGCCACAAAATTTAAATTTTGTTTTTCCCTGACTTTTCCCAGATTTTCAGACAAAATTTTCAATTTTTCCCTGACCCTGAAGAACATCAATAACTTCTTTTCTAAATAAATATTTCATCATTATTATTTTTCTATATAGGAATTAAGATTCTCAATTTCTTATAATAAGAATATTGTAACTATAAATTCAAATTTTCAAAGATTTTAATTTTAACCCTTTTCAAAATTCAATTATTTCTAAAAATTCACGCTATAATGCTTTTAATATTCAATTATAATTTAAAATTTTAAGTGAAATTCATTTTTTAATCAATTTTTATTAGAAAATTTCCCGATAATTCAATTATTTAAATACAAAAATAAATATTTTATTCAATAATTGCATGTTTCTTAAAATTTAATTTTTATGAAGAATTTCATCAAAATTTTTAAAAACAATTGAATTCTTTCGACAAATTTAAAAAAAGATTGTAAAAATAAATGCAATTTTCTATCATTTTATTTAAAATTGTATAAAAAATAATTGAAATTCTGCGATAAGTTTTGTTATTTATGAAAATAATTGAATTCTTGCAACGAATTTTATTAAATATTTTTTAAAGAATAAATTGAATTCCTGTGAAGAATTTTATTTGTGAAAATAATTGAATTCTCAATAAAAATTTTATTATTTATGAAAATAATTGATTTCTAGCGAATAATTTTATTCAAATTTTTTTAAATAATTGAATTTTTTAGAATTTTTTGAAACTTTTTAAAAATAATTTAAATTAAATTTCATTTAAAAAATTGAAAATAATTTAAATCTGACAAAGAATTAAAAAAAAATTTTTTTACTAATTGAATTCTTGTAAAAATGTTTATTTTTGAAAATAATTTTATTAAAATTTCTTAAATAATTAAATTTCTTCGAAGAATTTTTATTTTTTACGAAAATAATTGAATTGCTACAAAGAATTTTTATTTTTTACGAAAATAATTGAATTGTTTCGAAAATTTTTACAAAGATTTTTGCCAATAATAATTGTATTCCTCGGAAGAATGTTGTATTTTACGAAAATAATTGTATTCTATGACCAATTTTATTATAATTTTTCAAATTTATAAAGCATTTTATCAGAATTTTTTTAAATAAAATTGAATTCACATAAAAAATGTATTATCTTTGAAAATAATTGAATTCTTCAGAAGAATTGTATTGAAAATAATTGAACTGTATAGAAAATTTTTATTAAAATTTCAATTTTATTAACTAAATCTTGTAAAGAATTTTGTCAAAATTTTTAAAAATAATAAAGCTTTTAAAATAATTTTATTTAAATTTTTCGAAAGAATTGAATTTCTTAGAACAATTTTTTTCAATTCTCTCTATTGAAAAATTAAAAATAATTGAATTAGTGCGAAGAAATTTATAAAAAATTGGTAAGTAATTGAATTCCTGTTAAATTTTTATTAAAATTTAGTTTAAATAATAGAATTCTTTTGGAAAATTTTATTAAATTAATAGATATTACAAATAATTGAACCTACATAAAATAAGGGGACGAACGCATGGTTGAAAGGGATAATATCAGTCAGGCAGCAGCGAGCGGCTCAAGGCTTGTCACTGCTACCCGACTGGTAATATCCCTTCCAAGCCTTGCGTTTGTCCCCTTATTTGCAGCTAGCACTGCAATTATTCAAAAAGATTTTTATTGTAGATTTATTTGAAAAATTTAATTATCTTAAAAAATGATTCAAAAATAATTTTTGAAAGATTTGTTTATAGTTATTTTTTGCACTATAAAAATCGAAATATGTTGCACTTTTTTAATAAAAATTGTGGTATTTTGTTGGAATATTTGGAAGAAAAGTAGAAAAATTCGCAATTTTTTAAAATAAGTTGAAAAAAGTCTCAATTTTCTTAATTTCTTTGACAAGCAATTTTTTTCCTGTCATTTCCCTGACTTTATTGACTTTACTGACATGTGGCCACCCTGATTATTGCCACGCTCTCTGAAGAAAGGTAAGAAAAAAATGTTTAAGGTTACATTTGTATTATTTTCGTTATTTTTTTTACCTTAATAATGTCAATTAATTAATTGTGACTAAATTAATTATTCAGTTTAGTCCTTAATTAAAAGTTAGTCTAAAACTAAAATCAGTTATTCTTAATTATTTCAGACGAAATGAAGACTTGAACCAGTGTTTTATATTTGAGACTTGTATTTTCATTGAAAAAATTACAAAAAATTACAAAAATAACCTACAATTTTTTTCTTCTACCTTTCTTCGGAAATTAATTAATAATGAAAACTCACCTCATGTGATTTAACGGAATGACTAAGATTATTTTCCCCAGAATAATGAAATTCGTGTGATTGTGGAAACGAATTTTGCGGATATTGCGAAATATTGGAGATTATCTGATGTGATGCCGATATTTGTTGGGGCATTGTTAATTGTTGATTTGTTATTTGTTGACTTGTTATTTGTTGATTAATTTGTTGACTTGTTAATTGTTGACTGGTTATTTGTTGTGAAATCGCAATTTGCTGCGAGATTAATTGATGTTGAGGTGTCGTGACTTGGGGAACAATTGAAATGTCCTGAGAGGCGGCGATTATATGCTGTGCAGTATGCCAAATATTTTCCTCATTTGCTGTTGAATTTTTTTCAATATCCTGATTAGAAATTACAGGAATTCCCGGATGTTGCTGCGATAGTGGTCGATAAAAATCGAAAACTTTCTGTGCACTCGGTTGAATTGCCACTGGACTCGAAACACTTGGTGGTGGTTGATTCACAAGGGTAATAACTTGTTGAGCAGCTTCCTTTTTCTCAGACGATGGTAAAATTGTCGCCGCAATTACTCCAGTCGATCGGAGAATTCCATTTTCCACTGCATTCAACATTCTGTCATTATCCTCATCGACAACGTGGCTCTCATTTTGTACAGTCGATTGTATTTCCGGTTGTGGGGCTATTGATCCTGGGAATGACGGTTGTTGCTGATCGACGAGACTGATAACCTGTTGGTAAGGGACATTTTTTTGAAGAATTATTCTTTTTCTTATCACGATAAATTCTTTTTAAATTCTTTTTTTTCAAAAAATGTGACTTGGAAGAAAGGTACCTAAGAAGAACAGAATTTGTCTCATTTCTACCTTAATTAAAAGTTTCTGTTTAGTTAGAGAACTAAAGCCAAAAATTATTTGTTTCTTGGTACCTTTCTTCAGAGCGAGTCACTATTTTTAAGAGAATGATTTTACCTGAGGTTGAGGAGACTGCGAAAGAGGTTGAGTTTGAGCGACAGGAGGTAAATCGGGGAAGAGTTCAGTCCTCAAATTTGGTAGAAATCCGTCGATAGTTCGCCACGTAGGTGCCCATAAATTTGATTCTGGTACCAAAACACCAGCTGACGACATGACGAGTAGCATATTTTTCAAAGACTCCGGAATTGCTTCTAACAAAAGTTCACTGTTGTCTGCGTGCATGAAAGCGCGAAGAAGATCGAGTACTGTTAACCAAAGAGGCAGAAATCCCGGTAGCGAGAGTAGAGGCGTTAAATGATGCAGAAATACTTTGGATAAGAGTGTCGCCGCCCGGAATCGGGTTTCCTCAACACCAGTCGGATCGTTGGGCGCAATTTGACCCAAAAGTTGTGCGAACAAAGGAAAGAGGACTTGTTCCAAACACTGGGACCATTCAACGCCAGTTAATTGAGTGAGTTCGTGAGCCAAGAGTGACTGAAGATACGTGATTGCCGATGCGCGAACTGGTCGTCTGCAGTCCCCGCAGAGCCTAGCGATTCCCTACGACAAACACACAAATTTTAAATTCTCCAAATAATCTGTGTTTTTGAACACAGGTCAGGGAAATCAGGGAAAAGTCAGGAATTTTTATTAAAAGTACTGGAAAAAATTTTAATTTTAGAATTCATTGTTTGCCTCATAAACTATGAAATTACCACGAATTTTAATACAAAACCTTCAATTTTTTCTATTTCTGACAATAATTTCTTTTTAAATAACTCAATTCTTGAAGAACTGTCATAAAATTATAACTTGTAAATTATTTAATGAATAATTTTACTTAAAAATTTCAAAATTAATTCAATTTTAAAAGAAAAGGTTTTAATTTGAAATTTTAGAAAATTTATATTTTAAATGAATTTCATTACAAATTTTAAAAAACTTAGATTTTTGGAAAATTCTCGTAAAAATTTAAATTATCTTTATAAATAATAATAATAAAATTCTTCTCCCAAATTCAATTATTTTCAAAAAATTTCATTAATTCAATGATTCTCAATACCTACTATTCTAATAAAATTTTCCAAAAAAATTCAATTATTTAAAAAAAATTGTAATTCACAGGAATTCTATTATTTACAAATTTTTTATAAATTTCTTCGCAGAAATTCAATTATATTCAAAAATTTAACAAAACTATTGTCAAAAGTAATAAAATTCTTAGTAGAAATTCAATTATTTAAAAAAAAAATTGTTTTAAATCTCGTGAAGGTTTAAATAAATTCTTTATAAATAGCAAAATTCTTCGCCAAAATCCAATTATTATTTTCAAAAATTTTAATAAAATTCATGAAAGAATATCAATTTTTTTTAAATTATAATAATAAAGAATTCAATTAGTTAAAAAAAATTTTCATAAAATTCTACACGAACATTCAATTATTTTCTAAAATAATAAAAATTTCACAAGAATTTTTTCTCGAAATCATGTTGTTTTGATCATCTTGATATTCACAAAATTCAAAGAAAAAAATTTTTTGTTCGGCGAATCAGAATAGTCATTTTTTACGTATTTTGGGTCGCTGAATCAATTATTTTCACTACAATTTTAATTGAATTCCTGAAAAAAATTTAATTATTCTTAAAAATTCTATTAAAATTCGTCGAAAGACTTCAATTATTCAAAAAGTTGTTGATAAAATTCTATATGAGAATTCAATTTTATAAACATTCAATTATTCAAGAAATTATTTATTTCTGTACTTAAATAGTTGAATTCTCGTAAAATTTTCTAATAAGAATTAATTTCAAAATTAATTTCAGTTAAAATTTTAGTTGAATATTAAAAGTATTATAGCATTAATTTATAGAAACAATTGAATTTTGAAAATGTTCTAAATTAAAATCTCAGAAAATTTGAATTTTTTATATTTTTAACTAACAATTCTGTTGAATACATTTTTTTGAAAAAACAAATGAATGAATTTGAAAATTCTCCAGAAACTTTTGCAAAAATTATTAAAAATACATAATATTGATTTAAAGAAGAATTTTAGTTAAAAATTACAGTGACCCTAAAGAATATTCTGATTCACTCTAAAAATGATTAGATACTCAAAAAAATGTTCTATTACATTTATTTACAAATCTCTTCGAAAGTAAAATTATTCGAAAACATCAATAACTTCATTTTTAAATAAATATTTAATTATTATTTTTCCGTAGGAATTAAAATTCTTCATAACATTTAAATTCAAAGCTTTTTGAAATTCAACAACTTATAAGAATATTTTTACAAAACATGAAGAAGAAAACAAACATTTAAAAATTAAAAACAAACATTTAAACATTTTTAATTCATTTTTAAATCAATTTTTATTAGAAAATTCTAGAAGAATTAAATTATTTAAAATTGAATTCTCATAAAGAATTTTATCAAAAAATTTTTAAATAATTGAATTCCTTTGACAAATAATAAAATTTTTAAGAATAATTACATTTTTCGAGGAATTCGATTAAAATTGCATAAAAAATAATTAAAATCCTGCGATGAGTTTTATTATAATTTATGAAAACAATTAAAATTTTCTCAAGAATTTTATTAAAATTTTTCTAAAATGATTGAATTTCGGAGAAGAATAAATTTTATTATTTATAAAGATACTTAAAATTTTGACAAAATTTTTTTTTTAATTTTTGATGAACATAATTGAATTTTTACGAAGAATTTCATTATACTTTTGAAAATAATTTCATTCTTCAAACGAATTTTATTCAAGTTTATAAAAATAACTGAATTTCTGTGAAGAATTTTTTTATTTATATAAATAATTAAATTTTTTGCAACGAATTTTATCCAAGTTTATAAAAATAATTTAATTTCAGTGAAGTATTTTATTATTTATAAAAACTTTGTAAATAATTGAATTCCTGTGAAATGGCAAGAATATTATTAAAATTTTTTAAAGTAATATTGAATTTTGAAGAAGAATTTTATTATTTATAAAGATATTTGAAATTTTGACGAGATTTTTGTTTTTAATTTTTAAACATAATTGAAATTCTGCGAAGAATTTTTATAACTTGAAAATAATTGAATTTCTGGAATCATTTGTAACTTTTCCAAAATTCAATTTTTTCCAGTACTTTTATTAAAAATCCCTGACTTTCCCCTGAATTCCCTGACCTGTGGCAACCCTGTTTAAATTAATGAAAAATTAGAGTGAATCTTTAGGATCAGGGAAAAAGAAAATGAAATTTTTGTGAGAATGTTTGTGCCTACCTGCAAAAGGGGCCGCCATCCTTGAGCCCAGAGTGAAATGTCGGTGGTCTCGCCTTCCTGAGCCCACCACTGGAATACCTGGGCCGTCCTCGTGTGCAGAGTGTGCATCAACTCTAGTAACTGAATCGGACTCTGTTGGTAATTCGCCGGCTCGTCGACGGCGCTCAAAACACGACTCCGCTTGCCAGCACACTGGAGAACCGCCTCGGAGAACGTTCTCACGCAACGGACGCACAATTCGAAATTGAATGGCGTCACGTGAGCGACGTCTCGAACAAGAAACGATAAACTCTCGACGCACTTGACCAACGCGGCCGGATCATGAGGTTGAAGATCTCGATCCAAGACAATAGTATCGGCAGCAACTGGAAGTGGCGCCTCGGTCCCCGTCGGAGAAACCAAAACCCATTCAGGAACTGGACTAATTGGTCGTGAATCTAGAATCGAATTTCTCGGTGATGCTTCATCAAGAACTGGATTCGTTTGCTTCGATTGTAAAGCCCCGGCTCCCACGCACTCCAACAAACTGAAAATCACTTTCCAATCGTCGTTCGTGTGAATATTGGCTGCGCCAGTCTTCAGCAGCTCCGAGAGTCCGTAGGCAATTTGCCGCGAGAGTGGCGACATTGCCACTGACGGCAAATACGTCAACGGTGTTAGTGGCGGGAGAACAGTGCAGGCCAATTCCTCGCCTCGAAGAAGTCGTATCGCCAGGCGCAACATACCCACGGCCACTCGTTCCAGAAGGTACGGTTGATTCTCCCGAGCCGCTGTCGTTAGCAGTCCATCGAGATGCGCCTGCACCACGGGCCAAATGCAAACCACACGATCGCGATTTTGAATTGTCACTTCCAAAAGACATTCCAAAAGAAAGACGGCGAGATCCTCGTCCTGCGATTTCACCGATACTAGTGCGCCAATCAAGGACCGAAGCGATTCCACCTGAAATTCAAATTGGCCATAAATTCAAGAGGAAGAAGACTGCAATGAGTTTTATTATTTATGAAAACAATTTAATTATTCCGAAGAATTTTATAAAAAAGTTTCATACAATTGATTTTTTTCGAATAAATGTATGCTAATTCAATTTTTAATAATTGAATTCCTGTGAAATCTTCATTATTTTAGAAAATAATTGAATATTCATGTAGAACTTTGTCAAAATTGTTTTTAAATAATTGAATTCTTTTGAGAAATTTCATTAAAATAATAGATATACAAATTTTTGAATGAATTTTATTAAAATTTTTGAAAATAAATGAATTTTATTACTTTTGAAACTAATTGAATTCTTGTGATGAATACTATTATTGAAATTAATTGAATTTTGCTTTTCATTTGTAAATATAATTCAAATGTTAACGACAATTTTTTTAGATTTTTTGAAAATAATTGAATTTCTGCGAAGAATTTTATTAATTTTAAAAATAATTGACTTCTTATGATGAATATTGTTATTTATGAAAATAATTTAATTCCTCCGAATGATTTTATTATTTATAAAAATAATTAAATCCATGAAAAGAATTTAAACATTTTAGAAGTAATTGAATTACTATGAAGAATTTAATAACAAATTTTGAAACATTTGATTTTTTCGAAAAAAATTTATGCAAATTCTATTTTAAATAATTGAATTACGGTAAAATTTTTATTTTTTTTTTAAAGAATTGAATGTTTGTGTAGAATATTATCAAAATTTTGGTTTAATAATTAAATTCTTTTGGGAAATTTTATTAAAATAAATTATTAAAAATCATTGAATTAAGAAAATTTTTTGAAAAAAAATTGAAACTTTGACATGAATTTTATTTAAATTTTTGAAAATATTTGAATTTTATTACTTTTGAAACTAATTGAGGAGCTGGATCGAAGAGCCGGTTCTTCGATTCTGCTCCTCAATTGAATTCTTGGGATGAATACTATTATTTATGAAAATAATTGAATTTTGCTATTCATATATAAAGATAATTTAAATATTGACGATAATGTTTTTTAGATTTTTTGAAAATGTCGTTGAATTTCTGGAAAGAATTTTAATATTTATTAAGATAATTGAATTCTTTCAAAGAATTGCGTTAAAATTTTGTAAATTAAAACTAATTTCAACAATATTGAAATTAAAATTTTTCAAAAAAATACTTCATTAAATGATTTATAAGTAATAACTCTATGGCAGTTCTTCAATAGAATTAAGTTATGTAAAAAGAAATTATTTTTGGAAATAGAAAAAATTGAAGGTTTTGTATTAGTATTCGTGGTAATTTCATAGTTTCGAGGCAAACAAAAAAGACACAAAAATTCAGAATTGTCTTATGAATTCTATAAATTAAATTTTTTACAGTATTTTTAATAAAAATCCCTGATTTCCCTGATCTGTGGCAACCGTGAACTATTCACCTACCTGTAAAAATTTACTCTCCTCAATAATTTGCTTCAGGTGACAGTTCGCAATACATTTCGCCGCACGTTCCCTGGCGGCGATTTCAGCCGGATGAGGAACTTTTGTCGTGTGAAGAGCAATATACGAATATAAACTGGAAAGAATTCCTTGCTCGACAGGCGCTGCTTTAATTGCCGACGGCTCACGAATCAATGAAATTTTACCCGTGACATCAAGAAAGTCCTCACCCTCAGTTAAATTCTTTGGCAGAACACGAGCTAGGAATAATGTTTGGAGACAATCGACGATATTTTTCCACGATGCCCGCAATGCGTCTCCGTGCATGTGAGTAATTTTGAAAAGTGTATGCGCCGCTAATTGACATCTTCCACTACTGCCCAAATGTAAAACTACTTGGTCCGGTTCACCGCCAGCCGCCAAGCCGGTAAACTTACAAATACTGACTATCAATGTGTCCAGATCGCTCGTCATTCCATAATGAGCACTAATTGCCGCACAACTAAAAATTAAATACAAAAATTAGTAAATTAATTAATTTTAACTTAAATAATTTAAAAAAAAATAATAAAAGAATGCTTTTATTATTTTTTCTGTAAAAGCTCTGTCTAGAAACTTCATCGACAAGAATAAATAATAAAAATTTAATTAACAGAATGAAAATTTAGCGGATTTTCTTGCTTATTACCTGAGAAATGCTTGAGCAACTCTTCGTTGAAGAGTTTTGTCGGGAGCTTTGTCGAAAGCTCTGCAAAGAGCACTGACAATTGGAGCCCAGGCTCTTTCGGCTAATTCCTTGTCAACAAATTCTCCGGCACTGCCAACTTTCAAATAACTGCTCTCTGGACCACAGCTACGGCGTAACAACACTTTCCAAAGATAATTCTCTTTTACAAGTCCAGTTTGTTCTGCTGGCATCACAATTTCTTCGTTCCTTAAAAACAAACCAATTGTTTTAAAATCTATTTCAAAATTTTATAAATAAATTAGAAATCAAAATCAACTCAAACATAACTTTGAAATAATTTGCTCATTTGTAAAGCTGGATGGCTTGAAGCAAATAAATATACTATATTGATTATTTATTTACTATTATTAAGGTATAGGAAATTAATTTTCCGTTAACTTACTTAATGGAAGTGTAGATTTCATCCAACATTTCTTGATCAAAATCCTCATCGCCATTAACTTTTTTCAAATTCCTTTTAAAATCGTCGGCATTCATTGGATTAATTTGACGTTTTGCGTTATAATTATGTTGATCAACATTTAAAATAATTACAGCGTAAGCGAGCGTGAATGCAGCATCGGCCGAGGCAAAAGGTCTACCGTTACTATCCTGTAATTAGAACAACGTTCATTAGATCTAATTATTAATTAATTGATTATATTAAAAAAAATTAATATATATATATATATATATATATACTAGCTGTCGTACCCGTCTTCGACGGGTTTTAGTTTCTACCAATACATTTAAGTTTCTACCAATCTGGAAAATCAGGAAATAGCTAGGGAATTTAATTTGACCGGAAAAAAATAATAATTAGTTACCATTATAGCTATTTTAGTAGGAAAATATTACTATTTGAATCAGTGATTGACTTTTTGTTATCAAATTAGTTATTTTAACCAATTCAAATGCAGAGAACAATATTTATCAATTTGTAGTACTTTAATTAATGTATTAAAAAAATTAAATTTTCCATACAGTTTTTGGAGTTATAGTAGAGTCTAATTGGAACTAATTGTATCGCAAGTAGACCCTACGTTACGACTGCTAAAACCTAACATAAGACCTAAATTTTAGGCTGAAAGTAGGGCTTAAATTTTGACTCGGGTCTGTTTTCATAAATATTATACATCAATAAAAATTGAAGTAAAAAGCAATTTTTTAAAAGCGAATTAATATAATGAAACTTTTTCTTAATTTGATAGGAAAATTCCCGGTTCGGCATATTCCCAGCTTTTTACAGTTTTTCCCGTTTGGTAGATACCCAGTTAAATGTATTAGTATAAACAGAAAACTGTACGACAGCAAGTAATACAATCTATATTTATATGAACTTAAGAAACAGTATTTTCATAAAATAAGTAAATTTTTATAGCCATTTGTAGATTTATTTATGGATAAAATCAAGTAAATTTAAATTTGACAAAAAAGAGATAAACCGTGAAAAATTTGGACAAAGCAGGAAATTTTGTTAAACAAAAATAGACACCGTGTTAACTTTTGTCTTTACATTGCTCAAAACATCTCTTAAAGTTAAATCTAGAGTTAAAATGAAAAAACGTTTTAACATGTAAGTTTTTGCCTAGTGGCATAATATGCTTGTATTGTATCACAGGTGACTTACAATTCTTGACATCCTGCGAAATCATTTTAATCATAAAAAATTTCCATTTTCAATATTTCTGAACTTCTTGAAAATATTAGATTGATTTGATAAATAATTTTGAATTGCACTATTTTGACATCAAAATATTAATCAGAGACTCCAAAAATACTACTGAATTATACTTCATATAGTAATTAGTATCGATTTTTTGATATATTGAAAATTTTTTTATATTTCTTGTAGGATAGTATTTTTTGCAAAATTATGATAAAATCTGACTAAATAACATATAATATTCATTTTTAGAAAGTTTAAAAGCTATCCATTAAAAATTGTGAAATTTGGAAATTTTCCATTTTTCAAGTTTTTGAAAATATTTTTATATTTACATCTTAGTTGTAGAATAGTATTTTTTGAAAAATTATGCTAAAATGTGACCAAATAACATGTAATACTCAAATATAGAAAGTTTAAAAGCAATCCATAAAAAAATGTAAAATTTTGAAATTTTCGATTTTTTGAAAACATTTTTATACTTACATATTAGTTATAGGACTTTATTTTTTGCAAAGTTATGCTATAAGGTGACTAAATAACATATAATACTCAAGTATATAAACTTCAAAAGCAATCCATGAAAAATAAAAAATTTTGAAATTTTCGATTTTTTGAATTTTTTGAAAAAATTGAATATCTCCCGTTCTAATTAATATTTTTTAAATCTGTAAATTTATAAACCTTCCTTGGGTCAATACCTAATAACCTACCAAGTTGGACTTAAATCGATTCACATGTTTTTGTGTGATTGGGGTACAAAGTTTTTGTGACAGACAAACATACATACATACATACATACATACATACATACATACATTAAATTTTTTAAGAACATTTTTGGAATCTCTGATGTCCATAATAACTAATCATGTTAACATTTTGAAGTTTTAAGCAATGTACAGACAGACATCTGATTTTATTAATAAGGATAAAAAAAATTCAATTATTTCCTAAAATTTTAATAAATTTTTCAAAACAATTCAATTATTTTTATAAATAGTAAAATTCTTTGAAAAAATTTAATTATTTTTTAAAAATATTTTTAATTATTAATTATTAAATTATAAAAAATAATTGATATAGAGAAGAACTTTAGTTAAAAATTCCAGAAAATACATAATTGAATTTTGGAGAAGTTACAAATACTTGAAATTTCTAGAAATAATTATGTGAAAAATTTTAATTTCCATTCTTTTGAAATTAATTGAATTTTTAAATACCTATATTTTGAATTATTAATCAGGGTGTCCAGAGATTCTTTACAAAAAAATTCAAGGACTTTTCAAGGTTTTCAAGGTCCATTTTTAGGGTACTAATTTTCAAAATATTTGTTATTTATAATCGAGTATAATAGAGTAAGTTCTGTTTATTAGTTTTCCTCAATAAGTGTATTTCAAGTAAATTTTTACTTACTGTCTAAATTTGAATTAGTAAAAATAATTACTAATTCTAACTGATTTAGTGACTGACTTTTTGCTTATGAATTAGTAAACTTTACTAATAAATAATCATTTCTACTAATTTTTTTAGTGAAATTTACAAATTCAGAAGTAAAAAGTCAGTTACTAATTCAAATTAGTAAACATTTTTTTTAATTCAAATTTAGAGAGTACTTATAAACAATTTTATAATTTCTACATACCACAGTTATTCATAAATAACTTTAAATACAATTTATTGATAAAATATTAGAAATATAAAGAACATCGATTCAAGAAAAATCAATCAAAATTGTTTTTAAATAATTATATTCTTTTGGGCATTTCTATTAAAATAATTGATATACAAATTATTGAATTAAGAAAATTTTTTGAAAATAATTGAAAATAATTAAATGAAGAATTTAATGCCATATTTTAAAACAATTAATTTTTGCGAAAAAATTTGTGCAAATTCTATGTTAAATAATTGAATGAATGTAAAAATTGTTTTTGAAATTAATTGAAAGCTTGTGTAGAATTTTTTAAAAACTTTTGTTTAATAATTAAAATCTTTCGGGAAATTTTATTGAAATAGTAGAATATTGAAAACCATCGAATTCAGAAAAAATTTTGAAAATAATTGAAATTTTGCCATGATTTTTATTAAAATTTTTGAAAATATTTGAATTCTTGTGATGAAAACTATTATTTATGAAAACAATTGAATTTGACAATGAATTTTATTAAAATTCTTTAAAATAATTGAACTTTGTCGAAGATTATTGTTCTTGAATTCTTGTGATGAATATTATAATTTATGAAAATAATTGTATTTTGCAATGAATTTTATTAAAGTTCCTGAATATAATTGAATTTCGGCAAAGAATTTTTATATTTATAAAGATAATTGAAATATTGACGAGAATTCAACATAAAATATCAAGGAAATAAATCTCATTTTTAAGAATTTTAATTTTTCAAGGTTTTGTCATCAAATTCAAGGTGTTTTCAAAATTTTCAAGAAGCAAAAAAAATTCAAGTACTTTTCAAGATTTTTAAGGTTTTTAAGGTAGCTGGACACCCTGTTAATTTAAATGTCAATTATTCAATTATTAAAAATAATTGTTTTAAAGATGAATTTTTCATAAAAATTCTAAAAAATAATAATTTAGTTGAAATGGTGAAAATAATTATGAAGAATCTACAGCGATAATTATTTTATTATAAGTATTTATTTTATATTATAAGAATAATATTTTTTTATAATATAAAATAATGATTTTATTACTCAGTCAATTATTTTTAAAAATTGTAATAAAAATCTTTGCTAGAATTCACTTATTTTTATAAATAATAAAATTTTTCGAAGGAATTCAATTATTCTCAAATTTTTTGATAAAATTAATTTTAAGAATTCAATGATTTTCAATTACATTAATTTTAAAATTGAATATATTTAAAAAGAAAAATTATTATAAAAGTTAGGAAACAAAAAAGCAAACCACATCGAACTTCAAACTGCGAACAGTTTACCAGAATATAACGATTATTAATGCAGATAAATTAATTAATTAATATATAGATTAATAAATGAGAGAAACTTACATGCCAGTGTTCGGCGAATTTTTCAAGAAGAAGTGATATAAGAGCAGCTTCTCCAGGAAGTCGAAAGGATTCCAAATACAATCGTAGTGCTTGATCGATTCGCGTGTTGCCTAAATCGAAATTGTGAACGAAACAATTTAGTATCGTTTTATTTTCCTTTTTACTGATATATTCGCCAATTGCCTTTTTATCCAATCCCGGATTTTCACGCAAATATTTGGCAATTTTCTCAGGATCGGGTTGCTCTACATTCTCACCCAGGAGGCCATGTTCGGCTAATTTTGCAATACCCTTTCTGGGATTCTCGTTGAACTTCTCCGTTCCTAAGGCCAACCACTGAAAGAAAGTTTACATTTAACGTTTATTGTTTACTTGACAGCATGTATAATTTTCACTTTACGGTAAATTTACCCTCTTGTTGGCCTTCGTCGTGAGCAGTTCATCTCGAGTTGGAAGATTTGGCGACGGAGCGTGTCTAGAAGTTTTACAAAGGTCATGAAGACCTTTACATCTGGCCTCCATTCCCGCAATTAAATTAAATATAGCGTCGAGGGAAATAAATTGCATACTGTACATGGTTCCCATAAAAGAAGACGCGTTCTGAAAAAATACCGTTAATGTAAAAATTAAAAAAAATATATAATAAAACGGACAAAATCTTTGCCATCAGCACTTAAAGGGTTAAAGTTCAATATACAAACCCTAGATAAAAGTTTCATTGATTCCTCGTAAAGATTTGTAGAATAAAGTCCACAGTCGTAATTTAAATATAATTCTGCCGCTAAGCCCGGTATTCTCCACAGTCTGACAATCGCTTCTAAAATTAAAAATAATTACAATTAATATTTCAAAATGAATCGTAAAACTAATCTAAGAAAAAATATTGAAATTACCTAACGCTAACTCTCGTTGTTCGTACGATATCCGATTCGACTCTGAATTCACAATTTCCATTAATTTAGTAATGTAATGTTCCAATTGAAATTTCAAATGTTCCCTTTGTGATTCGAATAATAAAAACGACACTTGTAGATTCGCAGCCAAAATCGACAGACGATCGGAGCCCAACAACTGTAAAGACAATTTGATTAGAGAAATTTTCAGAAATGAAAATTAAATGAATTAATTTGAAAGCGATAACATACTAGTATTAAATTTCGAGAAAGATCGTCCTTTGCAAGAGCCAATAGCGATGTGAAATTGGAAAGAGAATCGGCGGAAATTTCCAATGCGACTTGCAATAAACTGAGACCCGAGTGCATCATTACTTCTGTATTCTGTTTATCGAGTGGATTGCAGATTGAGGCGAGAAATCGAAAAAGTTCGCGAACACACAGCGAACCATAGGGTGTATGTTGCTGATGTGGCATGAATCTAACGCCTTGAGTATTTACATATTCTTCAAGCGGTTCATCTTCTATTCGAATTTTTGGTATTTTCGAAACATCATAACCACTCGAACTCTCATCCACTGATGATAAATCTTCCACACTTCCCGCTGGCGATTGGACCCAATCGGTTTTGTCCTCCTCTCGACTCTCTAATAACAATTACACCAATTGAATTATAATTAATTAATTACACCACTTTTTAATGCTTACTAAATACTCCTATTCAACTAATGTAATTTTCAATTTATCAATTTACTAATTAGTAATCAAAATAATTGATAATTTTTGGAAAGCGTCACATATAAATAATAATAATAATACCTTGACAATCGGGAACATTTTCCTTCTCTAAACATTCAATCGTTTCTTTCTCGACTGTTTCAACAATGTTTTTATTTTCGGAAGACGATTCACATTCATTTTGTGATGCTTTACAGTCAGAAGTATTTTCTGTTGTCAAGTCATTTGAAACTTGTTCCTTATTGACCTCTTGATTTTCCTCCTTTGCCTCGAGATCTAATGTTTTTGCTACACTATTTTTATTATCGGATTTATCATCCTCAATTTTTTCCGGAGGACTTTGATCCAATGATCCTTGCATATCTACAATATTACCAGCCGGCGTTACTGGCGTGGTTGCGAGATGATTCGCCCTTACTCTATCGACAGGACTTAAAAGTTGAGACTCGGCGTCCTCAATTTCCTCGGGATTTGGTTGCGACTTTGATTTGGAATGATTCTTTGTTTTTCTAGACTTGCTTCGCGTATTATCCATATTATTTGTTCTCATTTTCTGTAAAAGTCGAAATGAATGCATAATAAAATTAATAATAAAACCATTTGTCATCGATAACAATGATAAATAGTTGACTATTTACAAAAAAACAGGGTTACCACAAAAATTTAATTTTGTTTTCCCTGACTGTAAAAAATATTCTGATTCACTATAAAAATGATTTGATACTCGAAAAAATGTTTTAATACTTTTATTTGGGAATTTGAATTTCTTTCATTGTAAAATCATTCGAAAACGTCGATAACTTTTTTTTAAATCGAGTGATAAAATCATTATTTCATATTATAGGAATATTGTTACTGTAACTTCTTTAAAATTATTTCCATCATTTCAATTTGTATTTCAATTATTATTTTTAATAATTTTTGACAAAGTTCTTTGAGAATTTTCAAATCCATTTGTTTACAATTCAATTTTACCAAAAATTTCGATTATTCGAAAATTCTTCAATTAAATATATATTAGAAAATAAAAACTTAAAATAATTTCAAAACATTTCAATATTAAACTTTTTCAAAAAATTAGTTCCACAGAATTTTTAATTAAAAGTATGAAAAATTCTGATTTTCAAAGATTTTAATTTCAAATCATTTCTAAATTCAATTATTTCTAAAAATTGCAATTATTTGTAACTTTTCCAAAATTCAGAATTTGTTTCAGTACTTTGAATAAAATTCCCTAACTTTTCCCTGATTCTCCCAACTAATTCTACTTTTCATGACTTTTCCTTGAATTCTCTAATTTCCCTGACCTGTGGCAACCCTGAAAAAGAATTAATTTACCTTCATATTTAGAAGACCCCTCGAATCGTCGATAAAATGTGGCAATCTTGTGAATAAATGTTGAACCATATCTCTTAAACAGTGCTCCGCTGTTCGTCTCAATAACTCTGGAAAAATAAATATTCTTTTAAATATACGACAAAAGGAAAAAAAGAATTTTGTCAAGAAAGGCATTGTTTTTACCGCTGAGACGTGATTCGAAACATATTCGAAAACAACTAAGCATAATTTCACAAATGCTCTCATTAGAAAGATGATCGCCTGAGGGAGAAAGCATAAGTGCTCGAAGAACTTGGAGAATTCTCATGAGTACAACACCATCTCCAGATGCATCTGTACCCACAAATCTTGCATGGGTAACAGCATCTGCCACAGCTTCCACGCAAGGAGCAATCGCTGGGTGCTCCGGATCTGAAATAAATCACCAATTTAGTTTATCGATCTCTAATCACAATCAAATGATAATATTAATAATAATAATAATAATAATAATAATAATAATAATAATAATAATAATAATAATAATAATATAATAGAAATATGTAATACTAATAATAATAGATATAATAATAATCACGAGAATCTTGAAAATTTATTAAAATATATTTACCAATAAGTCCATAGGAGATAATTTTATTAACGGCGGATAAAGCGAGACTAGTAACTGGTCCAGTTGTTTCTTCGGATCGTATAATTTCAAGAAAGGGTGCCATAAAAACAGCTGGTTCCAATTGCGAAATATCTTTTGCCTCATTTAAAGCTTCCTTTAACGAGGACAATCCCTTCATCAAAACATCTTGATCCTCATCCTGGAAAATAAAAAATTAAACGATTGAGTACCAGGAAATAATTACAAACATGCAGAGTAGATAACAAATTAATGACTCTTGCTCGAAGATAAGATAATTATTTATCAACAATGTATTTGAATTTTCAACCAATTAATACCTTCTAAATAATTACTTTTACATTCTAAGAGAATTGAATTCCATTTAAATAGCATTTTCCATTTACAAACAGGAAAGATTTATTCTACAAAAATTAACAATATGTTAATAGTTATGTCAATTTCAAATTAATTAACAGATTTCTATTAATGTTCCTGTAAAAATAATGTGCGAGAAATACTTTACAAGAATGTCAAAAATTTGATTCGATTAAAACGATTGAAGGAACATATTGTCGATATGTATATAGAGTTTACTATCGAAGAAGAATTTGTTCATTAATTGGACATTATTCTAGTAGTCAAAACAAATATCCGGACATTGAATATTAAAATGATTAAAATTAATGCGCTTCCTGTCACACGTGGCAGAAGATACGCTATGTGACAGTTCCTCAAGGTAATCGCAAGCAAGAATTATGAAATTTGGGCAAAATTTTCTTTTCCAAACCTGATGAGAGTGTGACGACCATCGAACACCACGTCGCATTGCTGTCACCAGGAGGCCCACCTCTCCCTCGAGGACATAGAGTCCACCTCCTGGACAAGGCATTTTCTGGATCCTACTCATTTTTCGTCTGCTTCCCTTCCTTCACAGGATCAGACCATATTTTAAAATCTTTTCTTATTAATTTTACAATCGAATAAAATGTCAAAGAACACTTGGAATTATAATACACATGTTGTGTTCACTCTCCTCGACGATGTTTTTTAATCCGAAAGTTGCAGAAAGTTGTAAAAATACCGAAAAAGGGAGCCAGCTGTCGATCTACGTCACCGCGGTAACCATTATTAAAGAAACGATGAGAGGTTATGTCAAACGGGTAAATTTCAATGACAACGAGAACATTACCGGGAAATTTCCTCTCTTTTGTAATTTTACTTTCAAACTTCATTAAAATAATTAAATATTCCTAATTTAATATGTGTTTTAAGATTTTAAACCATTTTTAAACCTGAAATATTACTAATATATATAGAGAATTATTGAAAACGAGTTATTTTGAGGTTAAGCCAGTAAAAAAACGAAAAATATACGTACTTTTTTACTTTTTTAAAAAAATAATTTCCATTTTGTGGAGGTAATTTCAAATAATAAATTCACAAAAAAATGATTTTATTAATTCCAGGCTTCGCACTCGATAATTACGTTTTAAAAAGTCGCAAAAAGTAGCGTTAAGACTAAAAAAAGTAGTAACAAAATATAACAGAAAAATTAAAAAATAAAAAGGTAGTAGTTATTGAAAACATTAAATTTGACGACCAAATAAAACTCGTTTTACTCGATTCACAAAAATTTTATTCAGTATTTCTCTGACTATTTCCTTATTTCTATCAAAAATATTTACTTTCCTTTCTTATCCTGTCTGCAATTCTAAATTTTTATAAAGTTCACTTATTTTCCAAATGTTTGGTTGTAATTTTTCAAAAATACACGATTATATGTAAAAACAATTTTTAAAAGTAAAAAAATAAAACTCTTACAATATAAAATTTATTTCAATTAAATATTACGAAATCTTAAATTAATTGTAAATTTAACTAATCTTTAAAATATTTACTTTATCAAAAGTTTTGAAAATAATTGAATTCTTACAAAGAATATTCTTTGGAAAAATCCAATTATTTTTTAATTGAATTGAATATTTAATTAAAATTTTTAAGATTAAATGCATTTTTGAAAAAATTATTTAAAATTGTAGAGGTAAAAATAAATTTAAGATTATAAGAAAAATTCAACAGCTGTAAAAACACCTGTATAGCCAAGATTGTAGGCTTAAGATGGATGTATAAACAAATAAATAAATAAATAAATAGGTAACAATAATTGAAATCATTCGATGAGTTTTATTATTTATGAAAATAATTGAATTATTACAATAAATTTAATTAAAATTTATCAAAATAATTCAATTCCTGGGGAGAATTTTAATTATTTATAAAAATAATTGAATTCTTGAGAAGAATTTTATTACCGTATGAAAATAATATTGGAGTTTTTGCAAAGAAGATTATGTATTATCAAAATTTGTGATAATAATTGAATTTCGGCGAAGAATTTTGCTATGTATTTATATAAAAATAATTGAAATGTTAACGAGTTTTTTTTTTAATTTTTGAAAATAATTGAATTTCTGCGAAGAATTTTATAACTATTGAAAATAATTGAATTTAACAATAAAAATTTTATGAAAATTGCATTTTAAATAATTGAATTTCTGTAAAAATTATATTATGTATGAAAATAATTGGAGTTTTTGCAAAGAATTTTATTAACATTTTTTGTTTTTAAATAATTGAATTCTTTTGTGAAATTCTATTTAAATTGTAGATATTGAAAATAATTGAATTCTTGCAAAAAAGTTTCTTAAAGTTATTTGAGAATAATGAAATATTTTCAAAAAGTTTTATAAAATTTTTTTGAAGCGATTCTAAGAATTTTGATAAAATTTTTGAGAATATTTTTTTTTTATTTCAATTATTAGCGAATATTTAAAATTATTAATTATTAGAATTATTATTATTAATTATTAATTATTATTAACAAAAAAGTAACCAAATATTAGCAAATTGTAAAAAAGAGTAGTAAATAGTAGGTTTTAGTAGCTGGAAATCAGATGAATTTTCAGAATTTAAACGATTTAAATGGAATGATTAAGAAGTGAAAACAAAAACTTCGGAATTAAAAAAATATATTTATATTTACCAGTAAGAATATAATAACAATATAGTTGTTTCATAATAAATCCTGGTAAATAGAGAGACAGAGTATTGGGTATTAAAATACTTGACAAAATATAAATCACTCAAGATCCATTTAAATATTCAATCATTCCTTAAAATTATTGTTCGCAAGCAAACGCATACCTGAAAAATTAAATAGTAAAATAAATAAAACAATAAACAATCTTTTCGGTCACAGACAAAAATATTTTCACTAAGACAATGAAAAACTTGCTATAAGTAATTAATGTGCTAAAATCTTGAAATTCCCTTAAAGAGTATTTCGAAAAACAGACAGAACATTTTCGAAATTAAAAAACGAAAGAAAGGCAATTTGTGAAAACTTATCAATTTGTAAAATTTGAAATTGAAATTAATTTAGTAAAAAAAGGTCATGTTAGATCAATAAGATTCGCTTCTCTCGTTAATGTATTAATTGTCGAGGACGTAGCAACCGACGAGGTGAAGGAACGAACGTGAGAGCGAAAACTTGCTTTATTATTCCAAGCCTCATCTCTCACTACTCCTTGATTTCTGGGATACATAAGAAGTGGATCTTTTCCTGTTTTTTTAAGCAGTCTTTCTTGGAGGGTAATTAATTTCGATCGCCAAAATTCATAACTAGCTTGTCGCAACGAATTTATCCATTCCTCGACTTTTTCCTCCGATGGTCCGCTCAATATGTGCCTCTTGTCGTGCTCATCTCGAAACGATATGCAAAAGGCAAAGGCACTTTCACTAGAAGTATCTAAATTAATACTACAATTTTCTAGAATTATCACGCCCGCTGGTTGTCGCCTATCAATTTGACCCAGGTCGTTTATATTGAAGAAAAACAGTAAATTGCATTTTAATTTGAACCATCTTTCTTTAAATGCTGCAAAAATAAAATTTCCCTGTTAATTATATTTTTTACACAGTAAACATAAATATTTACATTATTATATTAAAGTTCTCGAGAAAATTTGGTATAAAAGCAAGTTTATGTTGTTTTAAAGGCAGAGACAAAAATTTAATACTATAGACACGAGTGTAAATTGTGAAAGTAAAAATAAATTTTGGCAAATGATCAAAAATCTAGGTAATGAGAAAAGAAAGGAAAAGTTAAATGTTTTTTCGAATTTTGATAGATATGTACCTGATTTATGAGCACGTTTATGATTTAATCGACCCTCAAGGGTTGCTGGGCCAAAACAAGCCTCAGTAAGATCTTTATCATTAAATTTCATCCTATTCGAGTTCTTTGTTCACACATAAAACGGACAACAAGTATACATTAAATGATTAATTATATTTGATTGACACATCCATCATTTTTGTAAACACGTACATGATCTACATAACCTCACCTCTGTGGAGGTGTGTACCAGTGTGTACATTTAAATTATTTAAAGAGCCAGAGTTGGGAATCTAATATTCTAATTTACACGTAAATACGTAAGTACTTCTAAATTTACGTAAATTTATTCTTTTACTTTAAACAATTAAGGAGGAATGGTATACCTAATCGAGCCAAAAGTTTGTGACATTTAGGGGAATTTGTAATTTTTTTATTTAAGCTACATATAGCAGTTTTTCTTATTGAAATCATAAAAGTAGGCATCAATGAATATTAAAAAGTATATATTAAATAAGGAAAATATAATAAATTTATTAAATTACATTTTTTATAAAAGCAGAAAATAATTTTTGTTACTGTCTGTACGAATTTAAAACCTAAGAAAATAAAAGTTACTGAAATTCTCTAAAAATTATTTTCGGATTTATCGAGTATAGGGATCTGAAATCATGACGTCACTAACAAACATGGCGGTCGACAACGGGGTCAAATTTTAACAAACACACATGTTTCAGACTTCTTTTTAATTATTTTTTATATAAAAAGTTGAATAAAGTTAATTGGGGGGCTAAAAATTGTTTCAGTTTGTTTATACGCAAGTTTTAAAAAATTATAAAATGCAATTCGCTCCAAATATTTAATATATTCAGTAAAATTAATGATTAAACGAACTTACAAGTGAAGTTCGATCATAATTATACCATACATATACAATCATATAAATATATCATATTTATTTTTGCTTACTGATTTATTTTTATTATTTCTACTTATTTATCTTATATTAAATTGTTTTTATTTATCTATCTTTATTTTAGGGGGGGAATTAGTTTTAATCTTCAATTATTTGTAACTTATAATTTAGTAAATTTGTTACTATTGTGTGTAATAAAAAAGGGTGGGAATTTATATCTTCGAACAAGTTATTCATATAATTATGATCGAACTTCACTTGTAAGTTCGTTTAATCATTAATTATATTTCATTTAACTTGTTCGAAGATATAATAACTTGTAGATGTTTAGAGTAGAATGTAACATTCTGTAAGATTTACAATGTTTTCTTAGTGAAAACATTTAACTTTCATTTCGAGGCTACAAAAAATGCTTTTGCGATAAAAAACTTAAAAGACTGATGTGAATAATTCCATCAATTTATTACTATTTATTTTTATTTTATTTGTATTTATTTATTATATTTCTTTATTTATTTTTATTATTTTTTAAGTCAGTTATAGTGCTAAAAATAAAGCTTTTTATGAGAAAACAAAAGAGAAATTATTTAGTGTTTCGACTAATTACCGATATTTTTAACGTTATTAATATTTAGTATCTTTGTCAAGGCTTTGGAAGTTGAAGCAAGTCCTTTGAAATTATAACGCCAAAGTTTTTATCAAAACTTATCTCTTCCATGACCATTTTATGAAATCTTTAAAGAGGATTTTATATATTTTCCTTAATATTCTTTTGTAAGATTTCGGATAATGTAACAAGATTTTGGCAAAATAAGAATAATTTTTTTTTTTTTTTTAAGAAAAGGAAAGATCTAAGGCTGGCCTTCTGTGTATCTGGACATCTTAATTAAATTGTTATTTTATATCCTATTGCGTGGTCTTTAATGTCAGACCTAGAGCTATCATTAGGTTCAACTGATCTCTACTCCTCTAGTATGTTTAAGACGCGATTTACTTTCCGTAAATCCTGTAGATTAAGGCATTTGTCGCGCGACTGGTCACTGTCAAAAGTTTGTATCCGTTGACTGTACTTATGAAACGATTATGAATGCGAGTTTCCGAAAAACTTTTGCGGACGTACAGTTTGACATACAGATGTTCTTAAAGTCGGTTCTACAATGGGCACGTCGGACGTGGACGTCTGACGTGCCGTGCTGACGTCACCCATTTGAATAGCATGGGTGACGTCAGCACGGCACGTCAGACGACCACGTCCGACGTGCCCATTGTAGAACCGACTTAATGTATATTCATAACCTCTCGCATGAAAAACGATCGTGGCAACGTCGCAAGTTTGGCGTATGGCCGTCTTTAAAATTTCGCGCCAAAAGTAGCAGACAAGCTGTAGTATTTAACAAGCGCTATTGCCACGTTTACGAATTCACCTGTCATTTACAGTAATTGTTAAAATAATTTTTCAAGTTTGACGTTAAATATCTTTTAAACAAGACGGTGAAAAATTTTCATTTTTTTTATAAAAGTTCATTTTGGTTCAATAAATGAAACTTTAGTTTTTCTAAAAAATCTGACGATTAGTATAAGTGCAAAAATTAAAAATCTGTGGTTTTCATATGGTTTTCCTATACCTTACATGTTAAAAATCGAAACTTTGATTTCATTTTTTGAGACTTACAGACGGTCAATTTTATTTTAATAGGCCTTATTTTGTAGATAAATATCCAAAGAATAATTATGTGAAATTTAAAAAAAATCTGACGAAAACGAATTTACGCGACAAATACATTAAAATTTGAATTTTTTTTTTTTCAAAGGTTGTAATCTGGAAATTTTTTTTTTTTTTTTTTTTTTTAAATACTGTGGTTATATTGTAAGGCAGCTTGATGTCTGCTAAATGTAATATAATCGAAAGATATCTACTCATATAGAAATTAATACTCCACACTACTCACTTTAGTGAAAAACTTATTAGAAAGTGCTTAAACCCTATTGTATCACTAGCTGATAATTGATATTGTTTAATTTTCCTACAAAAAATTCAACTAAATTTTTAAAGACGGATTAGATTAGTCCTAGATGTGATCTAACTAATAAAATTTTCGAAACCAAAAAAAAAATAGAATTGTTTTAAGAATGTTTGATTGTCCTGTGAGAAAAAATTATCTGGTTAAACTACTAACTATAAATTACTAATGTTTCCAATTCAGATTTAAAAAATCTGAAACTCTGTAAACCAAAGAATAGATATTTAAAGGGAAACTATCTTTTTTGAAGAATACTTGAGGTTGAGGAAAATATTTGAAAGGCATATCAAAATTCACATTTCTAGTCAAATGTAAAAACATTTATAGCTTACGTTTATGGGTCACTTTATGCAAGAACAATTTTTATAATATATTTACATGCCAAGATGATATTACATATTCTTAAAATAGTATTCCTAAACAAGGAATCTATAATGTCCCACGCTGTATCTAAATACGATATTCTAGAGACCCTTCTCAGCAAACATTGTTACATAACAGGTATATCAATATTTCTAAAGTTCTTGCAATTAAAGAATATTGGATTAATTGGATAAACAAATAAATCTGAATTGCATTATTTTGATGTCAAAATCTTAATCAGAGACCCCAAAAATACTACTGAATTAAGCTTGATAGTAATCCCTGGTTAAAAAACCGACAGATTTCGGACTAATCCGAAATTTGTCCGAAACAATGCGGTTTATGGTCAGGTTTTTGTCACCCGAAATTAATCCGGAAAAATCCGAACTCTATACATTTTGTGAACAACTAGTGAATCCAGAATTTATCGGAAATAGTGCGGTTTATTGTCAGGTTATACGGTTTGTATACAACTAGTGAATCCGGAATCAGTCTGAAATTGTCAAAAGTTAGTCCGGACAATTTAGTAAGGGTGGAGTCCCATGGCAGCGTTTTGCGTTGCGTTTTGTAACTAGGCAATGAGTGTGAGAGAGATGGAGATTAATGTTTGCTATATTTGCACTCATGGGCTAGTTACAAAACGCAACGCAAAACGCTGCCATGGGACTTCACCCTAAATGTTAATAAAAAAATAATTATACAAGTTACACATATTAATTATTATTACTTTATGGTACATTCAACATATTTTTCGATTTACCTATCGCAATTTTATTTACATTAACTTAAAATTTCTAACGCTTTTGGGGATTCGAACCTACACCTATCTAACATTATATCGCACCGAAATCGAATACACTAACCACTATACCACGCTCGCATGGGAGTTCAAATTCATAATAAAATTTATCAAGTGCCACGAAAAGAAATGACTAAAAACTAACACATCAGTGTTAATTATCTCTCTATATTATAAAAAGATTTCGCCGCCGGATTCAGTGTTTTGAAGTCAAAGGTCAAAGATCAAAGATCATAGGTCAAGAGACGAACATTACCTTAGAATCAGGTCAAAGATCATAGGTTAAGAGACGAACATAACCTTAAAATCAGGTCAAAGATCATCGGTCAAGAGACGAACATAACCTCAAAATTAGGTCATGGATCATAGGTCACAGGGCAAACATAACCTCAAATTTAGGTCAAAATGATAGGTCAGAAAGCAAACATAACCTCAAAATTATGTCAAAATAATAGGTCAGAAAGCAAACATAACCTCAAAATTAGGTAGAAATGATAGGTTAGAGCAAACATAACCTAAAAATTAGGTCAGAATTATGGGATAGAGAGCAAATATAACCTCAATATATTCAAATGAAAGAGAGCAAACATAACCTCAAAATTAGCTCAAAATGATAGGTCAGAAAGCAAACATAACCTCAATATATTCAAAAGACAGAGGGAAAACATAACCTCAAAATTAGGTCAAAATGCTAGGTCAGAAAGAAAACATAACCTCAATATATTAAAAAAAAGAGAGCAAGCATAGCCTCAAGTTAAAAAGAGACAATACAGGATTTTATGATACATTAAAATCTGTAAATTTAACGTCTTTTTAACCTACAGATTAAAAATGGTCAAAATAAACCTAATTTTTTAATACATGTAAAAAAGGGAGTTAAATTTTAACTCCCCAGGGAATTATATAAAAGTCGCACCCATTGGGCAGTTAATGCCAGGGGAGTTAAATAAAGAGAGTTAAAACTTCACACCCAAATGCTAACTCCCTAAGGAAAAAATAACTCGCGCGGGTGTTGAATGAAGGGAGTTAGAAATTAATTCTCTTTTAGAGTTCATTTTTAACTCGAAAAATTTCACTCCCAAGTCCGTTAACTCCCTAAATTTTTTACAGTGTATAGGTAAAAAAACTGTCCATAACGATTATTACATTACGTCAAAATCTTTTTAACATACAGGTTAAAGAGGGTCAAAATTTAACCTAATTTTTGAAGTAAAGGTTAAAAAACGGTCAAAACACCGAAAAAAATCTCGATGGTATTATTAACTATGACTCTATAGTTAATCTTAATCTAGTAAAAATAATAAGGATTCTTCTTCTTCTTCTTTGTTTGTTAGTGGCCTATTGCAGTGCATACAGCCATATCTGTGTGTGATCACATATTACATATTAAGCAGTGTTCATAGGTTAAATTAAGAGCCGGAGCATTAATGGCCGCTCATAGTCTATACAATTGCATAAAGCGGCAAACAAATTCAAATTCAAATCGAAATAATACAAATAAAAAGAAAAAATAAGGATCAAAAAACAAAAGAAAAATAAAAAAAAAAGAGGGGAAACGAAAATAAAAAAATGCTTAGCATAGTCATTCTCACAATAAGCCAACCGTAGGCCCAGGCTACTCAGTTCACCCGAGGGGAGGGCAGGCAAGTGCGAAAAAAAAGACCATACCAGCATAAGGGGGGAAAATAAAAAACAAAAATCAACCAAAGCAAAAAAAAACAACTCAACAAAGGAAAAAAAACCAAATCCAGAAATGAACCAAAACAAAAAAAAACTCAATAAAGGAAAAAAGAAAAAAAAACAGCCTATGGCAAAAATAAAGAAGCTCGACAAAAGTCGGATAAAAAAAATAATAAGAACAACCAACAAATAATTCTCAATTAGAACCCAGAGAATATGACAAATAATAATTTCAAAACATTTGAACACAATACTTTAAATTATAATACGGGATGTACTCCCGCCAATAAATCTACCGAAAGCTTCAACCATCTCATTTGTAGGACTCAATACCACCTCAAAAGGATCAAAACTCTCAGGATCTTCAATCCCCATCCTGTGGACCAGGAAGCTAAAAAATTCCGGTCTGTTTGGAGACAAATTAGGACACTCGTTGAAAAGATGTTTTAAGGATCTATCCTCCATCCCACATGGACAAGTGAGATCCACTCTCCATCTCAAGCGATTAAAGTGATCAGAACAAATAACGTGACCCGTCCTAAGACGGGTAATAAAATTGATAGCTGTACGGGAAGCATTCGAACCAGCAAACCAAGGCCTCACCGTTTCAAGGTGAATCCTAGAGAAGTATTTCAATCCCTTAGGAGATTTACCAAAAAAAGGCCATAAGGCTCTAGCCTCATCACGACTGAGTGAATCAAAATGTCTCAAAAGATCTGGACGAGGAAGACCGAACCTCTTCCTGAGAGCAGTTCTAGCCGCCATTTTGGCTGTATGATCTGCAATGTCATTGCCAACTATTCCTTTATGTGCTGGAATCCACATCAGAGAAATCCTTTGATCCCTCAAACTGGCGGTGTGAATGGCGGAGACAATCCTGTAAATAAGCTGAGAAGAAGGCTCACTCCCAAAAACATTCCTCACATCAGAAAGGACCTGTTTAGCATCCGAAAGTATCAAAGTATTTGCAATATTCATTCTCTTGGCGTGGAGAATGGCCGACAGTATAGCATAAGCTTCTGCTGAATAAGCCGAGGAAAAGTCCTGCAATGCCACACCAAAACGAAAATTTGACTCAGGAATGTAGAATGAACTACCAACAAACGAAGCATTCAATCCGGAAGCTGAGCCATCAGTATATACAGAAACATAATCCGAGTAATTGTCTCGTAGAATCGAATCAAGAACATCCGAAGGACGATCATCCTCCTCACTCTTCTCCTGAAACAGATCCAGCTGAACATCAGTTGTCATGGTGATCATCTCCCAACAGAAATCAAAATCGGCTGGTCTATCAGTTCTGAAAGAAGATTCCAAAGTTTCACGCATTGATCTATATGTACTCAGCAATGGAGACCTTGCAATCGTCACCGGAATACGACACTTGGAAGAACCGAGTCTCTCGGAAAGCAGCTGCAACTTAGGAATCAAAGGATTAAATCGCCATGAAAAATTGCGGACAATAAAGCGTCTAGTAAGCAAGTTCCGCCTAAAGATGAGGGGAAATTCATTGGACTCAGACAAGAGAACCGCCACTGGCGTAGTGCTCATGACCCCCAGAGCCACCCTCAGAGCTGCATTTTGGGTTTTATCGAGCATTCGAAGAGCTACTAAATTGGCAGAGCCATATAGCTGGCATCCCCACTCCAAATACGAACGAATCAAGCCCCTATACACTATAAGTGCCAAAGACGGAGCAGCACCCCAACTGACCCTCGAAATGACCTTGAGGACATTAATTGCCTTACTGGCCCTAGAAACATTCTCCCTTATATGTGGAATCCAAGTAAGTCCGGTATCCAAAAGGATTCCCAAATACTTCAGTTCAGAAGAACCTGGTATACGAGAACCATCCACTTCAATAGAGATGTCACCATAATCAATCCTCTTGGACGAAAAAAGGCAAAGTACGCATTTCGTCGGTGAAATGCTCAAACCCCTTCGCACTAACCAATCCGATAATAAAGGAACAGCTTCATCAAGGTGAGCCCTCGCATCGAGAACATCAACATCCCTTGAGTAAACAAGGAGATCGTCAGCATACTGAGCAGCCCTCACATGAGCAGGAAAGATGGAACCAATATCTGCCATATATATATTAAACAATAAAGGCGACAGAACACCACCCTGGGGAACTCCCACTCCACAGGTCCTACTTTGTTTTGCATTTAAAAAAACAGTTCCCTTCTCTCTGTAAGAGACGCAACAAAGTTGACAATGCGTTCCGGAACTCCAAGAGTGCGCAACTTCTCATTCAGTATTAACGGACGAACATTGTTGAATGCACCCTTGATGTCAATTGCTAATGCAAGAGTGACACAACCCCTACTGAAACCCTGCAGAATATCAGTCACAACAGACGAAACACAATCCATGGATGATCGCTTCCGTCGAAATCCAAATTGGAAACTGGGGACAATGTTTCCTCGTTCAACGAAATGTTCCAACCTACGGTGGACTATCCTTTCCATGAGCTTGGAAAGGACCGATGTGAGGGAGATGGGGCGAAAACCCTTACCTCCCGGCTTTGGGATAAAGATAACTCTCGTACTTCTCCAAACTTCGGGAAACAATGAATTTATAAAAAAGTCATTCAGTAATCTCAAGCAGAAACCCTGAGACTTCAAAGAGAGAGCTCTAAGCCATTCCCAGGTAACGTAATCCGTTCCTGGTGCAGACTTGATATTACCTCGCATAAGAGCAGACCGAAACTCCTGCCACGAGAAAGGAGAATTAAAAACATTGCCTTCATCCACAACATCACAACGCGGAACAGCAGACGGTGGAATCTCCTGACAAACAAGATCATTCTGGAGTTTTACCATCTCAGGAGATTCAGATGAATCCTGGTTAAATCTAGGACCTCGAGGACCACTCTTTAAAGATCTCACAACAGACCAAGTCTTGGCAAGTCCCACATCTGGAGACAACTCGCTGCACATGGTCCTGAACGATTCACGCTTCTTATTACGTAGAAACCATTTAACCTCTAAATCCACCCTCTTGGCCTCCAACTCATTCTCCTTCGTCTGGTTCCTCCAAAAAGCCCGGTTGGATTCTCTTCTTCGCCCAACTGCTTCGTCGCATTCCGTACTCCACCATAAAGGACGAGTTTTGCATTTCTGAGAGTTCAAGGAAGGCAAGAAACCACCACTAGCCTCCACCGAAGTTACCATCTCAGAAACAAAGGTATCATAAATTGCCAGAGATGGTTCACCTGAATCCAGTGCAGCAGTCAAAACGGAAATACTCTCATCCATCCGATCTTTAAATTTGGACCAATCGACATTTTGTACATTGTACCTGATAGAGGAAGCCTTACAAAAGCTAGGTTCACATGAAAGTGAGGAAGTGATCAAAACATGGTCCGATCCAAAATGATCACCAGTAACTTCCCATGTAAATAGATGGTGATTCTCTGATAAGGTAAATATCAAGTCCAAGTTTGACTGGTTGCGTCGATCAAAAGGAGAGAATGTTGGATAGGTATCATTGAGTACAACAAAACCCTGATCCTCAGCAACGGAAGATAAATGTCTGCCTCTGATCTCCGAATGCAAAGCACCCCAGGACTTATGATGAGCGTTGAAATCGCCACAGATAATAGGATATGGGCACGAGCTTACCAGATCGAATATAGCAAGCCAATCTTCATAGTCAGTGTAAACGTTGGGCGGACAATAGACCAAAAGAAACGAAATCATTCCCAAGGCAGAACCAACGTTGATAGAAAGGAGATCAACCTCTCCACCACAAAAAACCGGAACCTGAGCACGCTCAACCTTCAATCCTTCCTTAAACAAGATCATAACACCACCTCCTCTCCCAGATACTCGGTCAGCTCGAAGGGTGTTATATCCGAAAATATTGAAATTCAACTCGGTAGTCAACCATGTCTCTGTTATACAGATAACATCCAGTTGATGAGTGTGAAGGATTGTTTCAATCTCAATCTTCTTATGAACCACACTACGTGCGTTCCATAAAGCCCAAGAAAGACTTTGACAAACCATTTGACAAAAGTCAACAAAAGAAAATAAACAAAAAAATTGGAAGAGAAGCAGGCGCAAAACGCCTACATCTAGGGTTTCGTTGCATTTAAAAAGAAAATCCTGTTTTGGTTATCATAAACCATTGTGGTTAAGACTGACTGACTGATTTGGGATCTATAGTGCCCCAAATTTGGGATCTATAATGCCCCAAATTTGGGATCTATAGTGCCCCAAATTACGACGGACAGACGGACGGACGGACGCCAAAGTGAAACTATAAGGCTTTCGGTAAAGGTGTGCAAAAAGCTCGAAACCCGAAGCTCGAGCGGGTATTTTCGAGCTTTTCATTTTTCGAGCCGAGCCGAGCCGAGCCTATTCAGTTCGAGCTCGAGCCGAGCTCGGGCCGAGCTTTATAAAAAGCTCGAATAATTTCGGGTACTCGAATTTTTCGGGTACCCGAAACTTTCGGGTACTCGAAATTTTCGAGTACTCGATTTGATTCGAGCCCTTGAGAAAATCCAAAATTTTCTACATTAATTTTTAATTAAATTTTTTTTTTTCAAAAAAAAAATTTTTTTAATTTAAAAGCTCGAATTAAATCGAGTACTCGAAAATTTCGGTTACCCGAATTCATTCGAGTACCCGAAATATTCGAGTACTCGAGTGAATTCGGGTACCCGAATGTTTCGGGTACTCGAAAATTTCGGGTACCCGATACATCGAGCCCGGCTCGGGCTCGGCTCGGCTCGACTCGAAAAAATTGCGGCCCGGCTCGGCTCGGCTTTTCGAGCTTTTTGCACACCTCTAGCTTTCGGCCATGGGCCACGAAACCCTAAAAATGACTATATCAGTCAGAGAGAAAAAAAAAGGACAAAAAAAAATTTTTTACAACAAAACAGTTGAAAAAAAAAATAAAAAATTAGTGAGGCAATTAATGGCCGGGGACAAAAAGTCCCAAAAAAAAGAAAAATAAAGCAGAAAGTTTATAACTCCATATCCACCAGAGACGAGTTCTTCGACGATTCAGCAGATTTAGTAATAGCTGTAAGAAATTTCTCAGAGGAGTCAGAAGTAGGGTTAGCGATTGTAATTGAATCCAAATTTTCGGAAACTCCTCTAGAGGTGGAGGGAGGAGGTGTAAGGACTTCCCCCATATTTGCGTTTACATTTTCAGGACCTGCAAGTTCAACATGAGGTCTTCGAAGAGAAATTTGTTGAAGATTACGAATAATTGCCGCCGGGAAACGAGGCTTAAAAATCCCTTGGTCTTCCAAGATCGCATCCGCCTCATCGTATCCACAAAAGTTTTCGAACCTAACTCTCATGACCTCAAATTCGAAAGAATAGACAGGACAATCCCTGGAGGAGGCAACATGATTACCACCGCAATTAGAGCAAAGAGGGGGCCTCAGTTTATTATGGCAATCCTTTTCCTCATGAAAGTCAGCACAAAATTCACAGATCGGCCTGGAACTTCTAGACTGCCTAGTGATATGCCTATACCTGTGACATGTATAGCACCTTCTTGGAGGTGAAATAATAGGGATAGCACTACAAGCAATGTTGGCGATATAAACCGTTTTTGGTATATTTGTTGAGGAGATTGTAATCTCGATAATATCTAAAGGCTCAACCAAACCAGCAGACCCCGCAGCAGCACCATCCCTATCCCTTGGACGAGATTTTGTTCTTCTGCGAATTTCCAACACCTGAGGTCTGAAAGCGCGATCCAGTAGATCATAGATTTCCCCAGCACTGAAATCAATGTCAACCTCCCTGACAAGAATTCTGCGATTAAAAAGCGAAGACGGAATAAATGCCTTAAGACCCTTTTCGACAAGTATTGGAGAATCAACCAAAACATTCGCATCCTGCCATCTATTACAAAAAACCTTAAGCTGGTTTTGACCGTTTGGAGTGATTCTTTTAGAACCCGAAATTATATTGCCGATCAAGACACCAACCGCAATCTTCTTCATCTTGACAACGTTTCTATTAGGTAAAAGCGATTCAATCAAAACAATGAAGGGGGGAGAGGATTCTTGAGAGAATCTTTCCAATACCTCTACGGAAGTTCTCTTCCAGGACAAGTATTCTGGAGTACCTGACATAGAAATGTGAGAACCAGGATTATCGGCTTCTTCATCATCATCGACTTCCGAAACTTGACTAGCAGTTGGACGAGTTTGCGAAAGATCGATATGTGAGAGATGAGAGGATTGTTCCAATTGAATAGGTGGAGAGGAGCGAATAGACTCATTCAATACATTAGAAACAGTAATTTCCGGAACAACCACAATGGTTTATGATAACCAAAACAGGAAAGAGAGAAAAGAGTTGTCAACCTGTAAGGAACACAGACGTTTAGGTTCTATTGCAAAATGGATTAATTTAATTACTTAATTAATTGTTCCATATAAAAGGTTAACTAAATATGATCAAACATATATATACTAAGTCGAACAAAGATTCAGGGTTACTAAATGTCCCCGACCACAACCTTAAAGTGATTTAGAAACACATTCTATCACATGTAAAAATTAAATTTCATAGACGAACACAAAAATAAATCATATCCAGCTTACCAAAAATCCAGTATAAATCTCAACAAGAAGAAAACAAAGATACCAAGAATAAGCAAAAAAATGATCCTAGCATATCAACCCTCCAGTTTGAAGATCTAGACTCTTAACTCGAAACGAAACAGTGGTTCTCAGGATTCCTCAGAGGTTAAGCACGTGCTAAAATCCAAGTCAAACTTCAGCGAAAATTGACACAAAAATTATCAGAATAAAGTTGTGGGACAGAAAAAAAAACTAATTCGTATTCCAAGAAGAAGAAATTAAATTTTTTTTTTTTTTTTATATAAAATACAAAAGGCCCAAATCAAGTAAAAGAAAAAAAAACATGTGCTTATAAGCAGAATGAAATTTCAGCCATCTTGATTAAAACCCTGCAAATCCTAGTCAAATTGGGATCCGAAGTCATGTGAAACTGACCCACCCCTGTACCCACTTGCGTCCGACATCTTGGTTTCTTATCTCTTTTTTTACATATGTTAGAGAGAGACGAAATGTAAAGACAACTACCGCAAGTGGG